CGAGTTACATATGTAATTACAGGTAATAAGTTGTATTTTACGTACATCTGCATGTATTTTCTGAAAGTGCAAAAATACTGTAAATATTATAAAGTAAATTTACTTTAAAAAAAAAAAAATGTTATTTGTTGTTATTCAAATAATATTTTGGGTTGTTAATTTATAGTTAATATCTGTAATTGTACAGGATTTTGCAAGTTATTTAAAAAAACATGATAATTACTTAAAAAATGTACAGTTATTTCCTGTAAAATTAGGATCTTTTTTTACAGTGTACCCCTTGGTTCCTCGTGGGGAGTGATGCGATCCCAGCCTAGACGCCAAATATTAACAGCGTATATTCCACATTCTTCTAATACTCTTAACTTGAGTTGACTGAGTGATAAACCTATAAGAAACATTTACATGTTTAATATATGGCCACTGGTTATTTTTTCCAGAGAATCCCATCCTCTTGCATGCTAACAACAGGTGCTAATCGTACATATGTGCTAATTGTTAACACCTCTGCAGAGCACTGGAAATATATTAACCTAAATGTGTATTCAGCCAAGTTGAGCTGAGGTGGAGAGAAACAAGGAAAGTAAAAAAAAATTAGATAAGGATTTATCAATGTAACAGCTTTGATACCTTACTGACATCCTGCAAACCAGAAAGGAGTGATTAGGACACTATTTTAACAATAAAACAACATTAACTTAACTGCAGGGAATCAAGTGATCAAAGTCAGTCTATTAACTGTAAGGCATTTTTGAAACACATACGGTATTTTGTGTAATCATTTCAGGCTTTCTTTTGCATTTGTTTCTATACATTTGAATAATGTGTGTTGAGTTATTTCCAGTTTGTCCAGTCTTATTTTCTGATTGCTAATGTTTCCCGACCAATATGATTCATTTATTAAATAAGCTATATTATCTCAATTAAATAATGTATCATCATTATTTTCCAAAATCACAAATTAGACACATTTTTTATTGTATTGGCGCCTGACTTGTAAGACGATAACATACGTATGTGGCTTAGCTATATGCTAATCAGGCTTGTGTTAGCAAAGACAAGAGGTTGCTTGTTGGGTAAGTCTTTGCAATCAATGCTATTATATGTTTGGTGAGGACAGTCTCTTCTTAACCTATTGAGTACAATTTAATAAAATCTGATATCAATTTAAGTCTAGAACTATAGCAGTAAGATAAGTTAAAATGTACCTTGTGAGACAACAGTTAAAAATATCAAGAACAGAAAATAAGCTGTATAGTATGTCCTCCTGCCAGTTTACAGGAGAATTTAAGGCGTACAACATCCTTTAAAAAAATCCTTGTTCGAGTGGTGAGAATAGACTTTTACTGGCCCATAAAAGCCAGGCCGTGATACATGCGATCTCTGCGTCAGAGTGAAATAAACACCAGTGAAAAAAGACGCTGTCCAGGTTTCCCACAGGGACTTAATGAGGAGATGGACCTTTACCCAAAGACACAGTGTATAAAGTCCTGCTAACCTGCTCCAGATGTTGACTGACATGAAACCATAATTACTTTTTCTATGAAGTAAGTAACAGTTTGCACTCTGACTTAGAATAAAAGTTGTTTGTAATGTGTAATTTATTCTCCTATTGGTGTCTATTGGCTTGGCCACACATTTGCACTGTAAAGGTACTACATTTTACATTTATTTGATAATAAATGTAGACATGACGAACAATATATCCAGGCTAACAGACTAGGCAAGGTAGCTATGACGTACTTCTCCTTGGATATTTCCTTCAACTTCTTGTGGGTGATCCTTAGGTGTTCCCAGGCCAGATGGGATAGATTATTCCTTCAGCGTGTTCTGGGTTTGCTGCGTGCTGCATTTAAGTTGTTTTCCCTCTGACAGCAGGCTTTTCACCCTGCCTGTGAGTAAGGCGGTTTGGAACAGCTATAAACATTACCAAAACACCTACTAAACCAAAGTTTGGTACAATGGCAACATCATCACCAATGTTGATCTTGTATAGCCCTACACGTTTTTTTAGAAGTTTTTATTTAAAGGGGACCTATCATGCTATATTTGAATAATATATTGTAGGGCCATACCTATATAAGTTATATTTACGAGTTTTCTTTTTCAAAATACCAAACAGATCATGCATTTTAGCCATGCCTCATTTTGCCTCACTCCAGCTCTGTCTTTGCATGAGCTGGAGCTGACCCCCCCCCCAACACGGGGCGGAGCGGGGAGGAAA